TGTCGGAGACATGCTAGCTTTCCCAAGGCAGACGAACTTAGAGTGGTTACAATCATCTGGGTTTAAATCGCGCTCTAATTGATTTGATTTTGACGCAATATTTACACTGAAGCTCGCAGGCAGCTATGGTAGGGGGCATGACATTTCCCGTCCAGGCGCAATCACTTTGTAAAAGTGCATAATAGGACCCCTTTAAGAAAGATCTTCCAAAACCACCAAGTTCATTGGGGGTGATGCAGCAAAATATGGTGCCCGACTGAATGTGCTAAATAAAGCCGAGCTGGACAAGGATAGCCATAGCCACACAGATATGTTTGCAAGATGCGTGCAGTTTTGTTTATTAACCGCTAGAATGTCAAAAGTTGCATTGTATACCTTTAACTAGTAATTTAATTATAAGATGCGCATAAAATAGTGTGCAAGACAAAACACAATATACAAAAGAGTGATAATACATAATAATGTTCCAGGAATGTGTATGGTTATGTTTAAAGGGAGAAAGAGTGTAGTCTTTGCTGTAGCATGTGTTGCTGGTCATGTGGCCACCCATCCCGATGGCATTCTTTTGATGTCAGAGAAGGTGTCACCGGTGTGTCCTGGCTAATGTCAGCAGATGAGTACAATACTGAGGTTAGCGACTTATCTTGTAGACCCCTCGATAACCCCAAGGTTGGCCTTTCCTATGATGTTACAGTGTGATTAATCAATTATGGAGGCTTTACGACCCATGATCCAGTTGTTAGTCTGGCAAGGCACTACAGTGGCACGAATAAAATATGCCACTGAATAAGTCTTACTATTTTTGCTTTTATTTTGTGCTGTTGTTTTTGTTGTGAATTTTTAGTAGTAATGCGTTTTTTAATCTGTTTATCTGAAGTTTTATGATGAGTGTTGATGTCTTAAGTGTCTCTCTGTTTTTACACAATGTTGTAGCATTCTACACGGATGTAGCATTTTTGACAGCTGATGTCTTTATCTTTTCAGTTTTAATGTCTTTCTGACAATTCATTAAACCAATTTTTAATTCATTAATGCCTCGACTTCACTATTGTTTGCTTTAAATCAGTCTTCAAACTACAGACAAAAACAGTGGCTTAATCCACTTCATTTGACTGCCATAAAAGCTGACATCTTAACCTTATCTACAATTACAATTAACTGTATATGAAGAGTTTGGTTCCAAAACGCAATAAACGCCATTTTAAAAAAAATTTGAGTTTCCGCCAAAATCAGTATTGTATCTGGTCGGTATTGAAAAGTCAATTTTAAATTTTACGCAAAATGCGATATCCGCCGAGTTATTAGGTCATGTTTTCTCCCTTTCTTTCCGAACCGCGACAAACGCTAATCTTAATAGCAATAGCAATAGTCTTATTGCTACGCAATATCGCATTCATTAGATGAATCGCATTCGATTATGAACGCGATATTGCGTAACTTGTCAGTATTAGTGTTTTTATTAATGCCATTAATGTTTTTGTTAATACAGCGTATAGCACTTGTCAACTAAATGAATGTAACATGGCAAAGATGAATGCACTTTTGGAAGTTGAATGTAAGGGAAATGTCATTTTGGAATTTCTGTGGTCTAATGTGATATTGTTGTTCGTGTTCTTGTTCATGATGAAATTTTCTTTTATTGTTGTAATTAATTTATAGCATTAACAAGATGACCCATTGAATTCATTTTGGGAGCGATGACTGATTGAATGTATTTTAG